CAATGTTTCCTAGTATTATTGATGCTGACCACCCCTTGGATTTGCCATTGTAGCTATGTAGCCAATCCTCTTTATACAACTTCGAAGTAATATTTCGACTGCTATTTTTAACAACTAAGTTTAAACGTCTCTTAGTCATGCTGTCGAATATGTTATTGCCAATTATTATTCAGTTTCCACCCACACGTCCAATGTTTCCTAGTATTATTGTTGTTGACCATCCCTTAGATTTGACATTGTTATAAAGGTGTGAATCCTCTTTACATTTTTTTTCTACGTAATATTTTGACGGCTATTTTTAACAATGAGGTTTTACACTTCCTTTTACAATACAACCTTGTAGTGCTGATGTCTGATTGTTCTAGACTGTTCTTTGTGATATTATTTTCGAGTATCTTTTACAATGTTAATCGTTTTTTTAAGAAGTGTGACACTTTTCCCAAATAGCCTAGGAGGTATTTGCACAGTAACGACATTTGGGTTTCCGCCATAAATGATTTTAACCAAGAAAAAATAAGGAGATAAATTACAGGTAAATAAGCGTAACTGAAGAGCGGTACTATCTAAAATTAAACGAGCATTCCTACAAGATATTAAACAAGTAATTGTCGATAGGCTGAGTAAAGTGAAGATATGAAGATATATGCTGACTTCGACTTAATTGATAAGAATTTACAAGTGAACCTGAAAACTATAGTAATGAAAGTAAATTAAAACAATCCATTTTGTCCGACTTAATTGAAATTTGAATTTCAGAAGCAATTTGATTAAAATTTGTGATAAATCAACATTGGATGGACGATGTTGCCAATGAGAGAATACTATTGCTAATATAGGCATAGCAATGTATCCAATCCTTTTGATTCTTTAATAAAACAAGAGGCCCATTGGTCTTAACGGTCACCTGATATATTTATACAGAGAGTTGATTTTGTTTTTAACATGTACAGAAATATTATTCAAAGTGACAAAAAACAATAAAACCACCTTATTCAATATCTAGCATACAGATTTAAGACTAAAAAGTATTTGAAACTAGCACCTCTGATTCTAAACAAGGAAAATGAAGAAATTTTAGCACACTGACTCCTTTGGGCCCCACCCTACAGCCCTTGGCGGTAGGGCTAGCTCAAAATTTTCAAAGTATCAAACTGTCAACTCAATGTTATAATTCCAATAAAGTTATTAACATGTAATATTCAAAGTATCATTTGCCATTATAAACCATAATAAATGTCAGTCAATTCGACCCTTTTTGGCCCCACCCATCAGCCCCGGGGGGTCAGTCAGGGCTGATATGTGCTTACTATCAAACTGCTACCTAATACTGATAATGCTAACCTTAATTGAATTACTTCCAATGGATATTAAACAAATGTTGGTCCAAAATGTGATTTCCTTATATAAAATATAGTAAAGTTTACCCCTTCCCCAGGGGGAAACGTAATACCCCAGGGTCATGAAATTCCCAATTTTGGTAAAGCACCTTAAGACCCTTCCATCTACGAAGAGTATTTGATTCTACCATATCTGGGTCTTGAGAAGAAGAGTTTTGAAATTGTAGTCAATTTGACCCTTTTTGGCCCCGCCCCTCAGGACCCTGGGGGCTTGGGACTAAACCGGCCAATATTTTGTTGACCTCTGTCCATGGAAGGTTCCTGCAAAATTTCATTGAAATTGGTTCAGGGGTTTTGGAGAAGAAGTCGAAAATGTAAATTGTTTACGGACGCACGACGGACGACGCCGGACAAAAGGCGATCGCAATAGGTCACTTGAGACTTTGTCTCAGGCGACCTAAAAATACTGAAATGAAAATGAAAGAATATTAGTTGCGATGTAGCGATAGTATTGTGTAAATAGATATAAAATACGTAGGTTTGGGAATTCGATCGGGAAGTATCATTTTTGTAACAACTTATGCAAAGATCTCTTATCTATTCCATGAATGTGCTTATGTGCAACATGTCATAAATGTTTGTTGCACTACAGTGATTTACGCGGAAGACAAGAATTATTACTGTCAACGGATTTATCTGGAAAGCGGAAAGGCCTATAATTTATAAATATCGAGTTTTAAAAATGTACAAGTATACAAGATCATGCGATGTTTCTTACTACTGTAACGTTTTATTTTAATGCACTTGTATACATATTATGCTAATTTTTGTCTTGTCGCGACGAAGTAGCGAAAGCGAGACTAAGGTGTCAACATAAGGCTTTTGCGTTTAACTTAGTTTCACTTAAAGTATAAGTGTTACACCAACCTTACTTGGACCATAGATGCATATTAGGAAGTACATCTCAACCCATGCATCAAATGTTGGATGCGGCCTACCTTTCATGGTCCATATATTTTGTCAGCATTTCCAGCAACATTAAGTTTTTGCGTTTAAGTTAGTTTCTCTGATACATGTATGTACATTGATGGTCAAAGCGGGACACAGGCTAGACATATCAATCGGAATGACTTCTTAAAGCGATCAATCGGTACTCTGCCTAATGGTTGTGCCGATAAAAGATATTCAATACATTTATTCAAAATCCCTGACTAGAAGTCTGACGCCACTCCCCCAAACAGCCAGGAAGGAAGACCACGCCTACCTGCTCATTCGTGTTTTAGATGTTTAGCGAGAAAGGGGCTGCATACGTAGTTTTACTTGTTTTCACCTTCCTTTACAGATTTCAGTAAAAGTATAGCTGTCTTAATTGTTTACAATGTTTCACTATGAAATTGATTTTACAGTTAAATATAGGATCGTACATGAGTTTCCATTTCATATGAGATTTACAAAACGAGTCTAAGAATTTCTCAATTTAGCGAGCATCTTGCGAGCTAAAATGAAATATTCGTGACGAGTTTCAAAAATTTCATATGAAATGAAAACGAGTGTAAGAACCTATTTATCAAATAATCAAGATTTGTGGCATTTATTCGTGTAAAACAACAATTTTCATGCAACCTTGAAATGTAAAAAGCTGCCATTTTGACTCCAGTGCGTAAGTCTGTGACGTCATGTACTTGTCCTCGGCGTGACGTCGCAACTGAAACAATTGAAACCTACAACCAATCACAGGGCTGATAGGTCATATTACATGGGTTAATACGCAAACAAATATGACATGAGTATATTCACTGGATAACACAGTACATCATGTGATTAAGTAGTATTTATAGTTTAAACAGTTCAATAATGGTAATAGGTTTGATTGTAGTCCATTTGTCATAAGATTTATGACGTATCATTGTTGTTCATAAGGTCTTTTCTTTTCTTTTTGGTCTGGTGAACTAAACAAAGCTAAAAGAACGATTACATGCTTTAATTAGGCGGAAATATGGAGCTGAAGTAGAACACGGTACTTTAATGAAAAGCGCTTCTATCAATCTTCCAATCAGGCGAGATTATTTCTGTGTAAGAAATAGAGTTTAAAAAGGCGTTCTTACTAGAGACGAAAAAAACAAGATGCATGCACACATAACGACGATATATGTAATAAACAGGTCTATTTTTAACTTACTGCTTAGTATTGAGCGATAAGTGTATTTTTCAACCGGAAATATACAGTGCATTTTCAAGAAGAATACGAAGTTGTTCAAGGATGCTACATGTATATAACTAATTATAACTACTGTCTTTTAAGTCATGGCCGTGGTAAAACATTTCATTAATAGTTTGTTAAGTGTTTTCGATCCATTTACGTATATTCTTTTCGGTAGGTGCCGAAGCTATCAAATCTGTGTTTATGAATAAATTTGTATAAACGAAGTCGTTATTTGAAGAATTGACAATAGTTTCGACTACTCGTCTTAGCTAAATATAGGAAAAAACTCTTCAACAGTGAAAAGTGTAGTTGTGACAGATTTTGTCATCACGAAGACCACAAATAAATACAAGAGGCCCAACGGGCCTGCATCGCTCACCTGGTATTTATCTCACGCTTGTAACCTTAAAAGTGATCTAAAATAAAGCTACAGGCAAAATCTCAGAATTTATGACTATAACTTATCCAAAGGAAACTGTTAAAAATTTAAAATCTGTAACCTTGAAAGTCGAACAAGGTCATTACGTTGAACAAACTTTATAACCCTTCATCCCAGCATGCAACTTGCCAAATATCACCAACCCAGACCTTTTGTTTACTGACATATTTGCCCAATTGTGACCTTGAAAGTGGATCAAGGTCATTCAAATGAAACAGCTTGATATTCCTTCAGACAAGCATTCTACTGGCCGAATATATACAATCCAGGCCTCATGGTTATTCAGAAGCGGTCGTTCAAAGATATTAAACAAATTTGATCCCTGTGATCTTGAATATAAGTCAAGGTCATTCATTTCAACAAACCTGGTAGCCCCTTATCCTAGCATGTTATGGGCTCAATATCATCATCCTGCACCTTTTGGTTATTCAGAAGAAGTTGTTTAAAGTTTTCTTAAGACAATTGACACATTGGACCTTGAATATGAGTCAAGGTCATTTGTTTGAACAAACATGGTAGCCCTCCATTCCAGGATACGACTGACCACATTTCGACATCCTGGTCAGTTTGGTTATCCAGAAGAAGCTGTATAAATATTTAATACATATTTGATCCGTGACCTTAAATATATGTCTTGGGTCATCGATTTGAACAAAGTTGGTAGCATTCCCTGCAAGCACGTTTCTGACTACCTTGAATATAGTATGGGTGAAGATAATTCATTTGCACAAACTTGGTAGCCCTTCATGCCAGCGCATACTACTGGCCAAATATCATTACCCTGGGCATTTTGGTTATTCAGAAGAAGTCGTTTGAAGCAGTGACCTTAAGTATAGGTGAAGATCATTATTTGAACAAACTTGGTAGCCCTTCATCCCAGTTTGCTTCTGGCCAATTATCCTAGGCCTTTTGGTTATTAAGAACAAGTTGTTTAAAGTAAAATATTGACGCCGGACGCCGGACGGAGGACGGACGCTGCACCACACCAGGTGAGCTTATAACAATGAAGTTTCTATGAGCACACGAACATCTTAAATTTTCCTGAAGATTTTTATTTGTAAAGGACACAAACACAAGCACATGTCAATTTCATTCTACAGTTATACTGATGAGGTAGATATCGGAAATCCAACAGAATAACATCGCTAAACATTATATACGATTTTTTACTACATTATTTAACACGTACAATCATATATTCAATATCGCTTTTATATACGAGAGGTAGAAAACAGAATCACCAGCACGAACACACGCATAGATAGACCATACCGGAACGCCACAGTTTCTTAATATCATCGGCCGATAAATTTCGACATTATTTTAAACGCCCTTTTGCTTTAGTTTACATGATGTGATATACGTACATCTAAAATGAATTAGGCCTGTACGGTTAAGAATCAGGTAGATGATCGGTTTATATAATTATGACAAACGGTCATTGTGGAAACAATCTCAGATGGAAAGAAATTCAACTAGTGTAATTTTCTTTGTTTTTAATCATTACGTTTTTAGTCAATATGTAAAATTCTGGAAAAATGCAATATAATATAAACCGTTACTTTTTTTTCGTTTGAATAATTTTTGTATCAATGTATCAAAAATGTCCGTGGAGGTAAATGTAAAAACAAAATCTTGTAAATGATATATTTTTTTTCTAACTAATTGGCATTACAATGGTTTTTCATCCCAATTAACATTATTGTCTTCACTTTTAATGTAAAGTAATTAAATTGTGTTATGGCGATATTCTGTATAGAAGTGAATAATATTCAGGATTTCTAAGTACATAATTAAAGACGTTAACAATTGATGATGTTAGCACTAAATTTGTTTACAAGTAAAAGTGAATATACATATTTTAACATTCACAAACAATGAGGTCCCAGAGGTGTCTAAAATTTGAAGATTTAGACAAGAAGAACAATAAAAAAAAACATAAAAAAAACACATGAAGGTATACCTGTAATAATTCGAGGTATAGTTACCATGTCAAATATTGATCATGTTGGCAATTTGAAAATATAATTCATAAACCTGTAGTTCAATTTAAAAAAAAAACATGAATTCTCTCTTTCTGAAGATAAAATATGAGATCTCAGAACTAATGAATAGAACGAGTACGTTGTGTTTTTGCACAATAATGGAGAAGTCAAGCGTCATTGTTTTGAACATCAGATCAAGTATGCTCTAAACACTAGATCTGTATCGCTCATCTATCATTCCGCATGTATTGAAAACGGATCTCATGCTTAACAAAATGAGACTCAAGTTTGATGTCAACATTTAGGATCGACCCGACAGTAAAGAGGCATTACATTGACGTACTACTAGTATTTCCGCATTTCGACAGTTATAGTAGCAAGTGTTTTGTCCCCGCAGTCACGGAACACTACACGGCGCATTGGCGGCATAGCGCTGTGATGTGGAGGAGCTTACGGTTAAAGTATTGTCTTTGACCGATTTTTTAAACTGTACAGGGAAAACGATCGAAACAGTTTGATTCTAAGAATGTAAATTTAGTTAATTTTGACATGCTGTATTATATTTTTATTATTATTTCGTTACGTTCGACAACCAATGCGTAATTAGATGATTAAATACAGTGCCGCGAAATTCCTCCTTTAAAAGAGTTAAGAAAACAAAGGCAGTTTGCAGTGTCCGCATGCAAATACAATTATCAACATTTTAACGTAATGATGTCCATGTTTGGTCAAAATTCATTCATTAAGTTCGATTGAAAGTTCAAATCACGTCTTTGACCACAGACTGTGTCATAGAACGGACGGACAAGGAATGGGATGGCAAACATTAATATAATCGACCATTTTTCTAGGTTAACGAACACCATTTCTATATGACTAAAACACTATGAATTTCCAATTTAATCTGATGACATCAGTGATGATGTAAACAGTATGCTTGCCATGTTTACAAAGCTATCATTCGTTGTTTACCGTTTGATAATAAAAAGGCTTCTCCAACTACCCCCTGATGCGATATTTTTGTTTGTAAAGCAAAAACCTGCCAATTATTTCGAGATCGAAACTACAGATATACATTGGTAAGGCTTAACTCGTAAACTGTTACGGATTTTTTTTATACTTGAATAAAGGTGTTTTTTTATGAACAAATGCTACGTTTTCTAATAGATCAAGTCAATTTCTCGATAAGCATGGGATGTATATACGTTAGAAATACGCAATCAACACGGCATAGAGTGCGAACGAGTTTACAACAAAAAGAGCACATAGCGGGATGATAACAGCCATCGCCAATACCCGAGACTCGTAAGTATCGACTAGGTTTTAAAACAGTAGCACTTCATCGATTAAAAATACAAATAATTATACCGTTTATTATGTTAGACCACAGACCTAGACATATGGTCAACCTGTGACAGGGCCGCATATGTCTTATCCTAGAATCGACAGTTATGCTGTGACGAGGCTTCTTATGACATATGAAAAAACACCTAAAGTTATCCCGTGACAGCCGGGCCTATCGAGACATACAGTTATCACGTGACGGGGCCCCTTATGCTATATATCTTAAGACCTATATTTATAGTATGGCCTGGCCCATAACGACCGACAACGACACATGACGGGCTATTCACTCTTCGCAAACTTGTTCAGAATTGTGTGCAATTTCCATATTTGCAATTTCCATATGTACATATTATATGTAAATAACTGTTATCTGCCAACAATATTGAGCGACACCGTCAAGTGTACTGCGCATGGCATAATAACGTCATTTTTTGTTAGCATACACAGAGAAATCAACAGTTTCACTAAAAAATTGTACAAAATATGGCAACGGAGACATTTCACATGGCACTTCTAATCATGGCGTTGGAAAAACAATACTACCACAGAATCTACGTTTGAATATGATAAAAAAAATGCCCAGGAATCCCTGACTAATAATAGAAAAGGCCCATCTGCGTAAAAGTAGCTGAGCGTCGGTATGAATACAGCTCGTAACTAGCTTTCCCTAATATTATAGAGACTAAACATATACATTATTTAATTGAAAATGTAGTTTAAATCTCGAGTAAAAAATTAAGTGTTACCCAATTATATATATCTCATTCAGATAAAATGGTGTGTGAATAGATATAGGAATTACATATAAAGTATAGGTTTCGGAACTGTACAACTGACAGGACGTAAGCAGCAGCAGCAGCAATAATACAATCTGTAACATGGCCGACCAAAGGCTTCCTATTACATGACCGACCACATGGTTCCTATTACATGACCGACAAGCGACTTCCTGTTACATGACCGACCAGCGACTTCCTATTAAATGGCCGACCAGAGACTTCCTGTTACATGACCGACCACATGGTTCCTATTACATGACCGACCACATGGTTCCTATTACATGACCGACCACAGGCTTCCTATTACATGACCGACAAGCGACTTCCTGTTACATGACCGACCAGCGACTTCCTATTAAATGGCCGACCAGAGACTTCCTGTTAGATGACCGACCAGAAACCTCCTACAACATGGCCGACAAAAGGCTTCCTGTTACATGACCGACCACAGACTTCCTATTAAATGGCCGACCAGAGAAATCCTATTACATGGCCGACCACAGACTTCCTGTTACATGGCCGACCAAAGGCTTCCTGTTACAAGACCGACCACAGACTTCATATTAAATGACCAACCAGAGACTTCCTGTTACATGACCGACCAGAGACTTCCTGTTACATGACCGACCATAAACCTCCTACGACATGGCCGACCAGACACTTCATATTACATGACCGACCACAGACTACATATTACATGGCCGACCAGAGACTTCCTGTTACATGACCAGCCAGAGACTTCCTGTTACATGGACGACCAGAAACTTCCTGTTACATGACCGAACAAACAGGCTTCCTGTAACATGACCGACCACAGACTTCCTGTAACATGGCCGAACCCAGACTTCCTGTAACATGGCCGTCCACTGACTTCCTGTAACATGACCGACCACAGGCTTCCTGTAACATGGCCGACCACAGGCTTCATGTAACATGGCCGACCACAGGCTTCCTGTAACATGGCCGACCATAGACTGCCTGTACAAAATGTGCGTTTGTAAACAATAGATGTCTTTTTTTAATTTGCAATAGGCAACAAAGCTCAATATAAACTCAAACATAAATGAGTTCAGTAATGACATTGCAATATTGATTATTGATGATAACAATGGCACTGAATTAAGTCAGTAAAATAGCACTTAAACTTTCAAGTAGGGATTAACAGGAAAATATTTAAAATACGTTTAAGCGTGACTTTTGAATATCTTAAAAGCTTTTCACCGATGGCCCAGTCACATGACCTGCTGGCGTGACGTCACATGACGCAAGATCACTGCATAACTTACTTTCAGGATATAATAAACACACAAATAGATATATATTGATATACAATATAACTAGCACATACAAACACACACAAAGTAATGAAACCAAATCTATCACCCACAAAACTACAGGGACTTGCTAGGGCATGAAAGATCTAGCATTAGCCATAAGTTAATTCGACAAAAATATAACAAAAATCTGAATAATGTGGAATTCGTTTTAGATAGATGAGGTATTTGTATTCAGTAAAAAAAGGAAATATATAATAGCGTTAAATATGTAATATTTCCGTTTCAATAAAACCAGACATTTCAATGTCTACACATGAATATATATGTTAAACGATATGGCACGTTTGAACGTCGTGTATGAATGTACTCGAAAGCTATATATAAATTAAATATGCACCAAACAGCCACTGTGAATGCATAGCCCGACGAGCTACACCTTCAAAAATGAATTTGTTAAAAAGACCAAAAAGTAGATAAATAGATAAAGGTATCCCTCAACAATAAACAAATTTAAATATATGGGAAAAAAGGCACCGGCGAGAATGATCGCACACAAAAATGTACATATGTAGTTGGTGGAGGGTTATGGTACTTTGATATACGAGTATAACATATATTTATGTACTTTATTTTCGCTATGACGTGTGCCATATGGAATACATGTACCCGTCAAACAACCCTACGGGTTCTCCATAGGACTTACCAGTAATATACTAAGCAATTTTTGTATTGAATGCAGTATATGTACATTATAAATCATACATGCATACTTAAAACTTGTCCATAAACATACAGTAAAACTACGCTTTAAATATGTGTGTTTATATTATCGAAATAAATGTAATATCGATAATACATGTGCATGTAATGTCGTTACACATATACTAACGAAATATATGTAATATCGATTACAATTTAATATCGATACACAAGTATTATCGAAGTACATGTAATATCGATACAAATGTTTTATCGATGCACATGTTACATCGAAGTAAATGTGATATCGATACACATGTTACATCGATACATATGTAATACCGATACAGATGTGTTATCAGCACACATGTTTTAACGATACACCTTTAATATCGACCTGTAATATCGTTATACATGTATAATTAATACACGTGTATTGTGAAAAAAACACGTGTCTGCTAAATACATACATGAGAACTATTTAAACCCGTATTTTATCAAAACACATGTACTGTCTAAATAGTGAACTATCAAAACGCACGTGCCGTCATAATTCATTTACAAATATACTGTCACTAATGCCCACAGTATCCTAATACTCATTTGATCTACAGGTATATATATCTGAATACACTTTGGACTATTCATATAGTATGTATAGCATAAACAAAATCCCTTATTACATAATGTATGAATACAATTATATAAATAGATTTATACTCGTACGCGTGTAACCATGTACGTCATGGAGTTTTAGTGGTTTTTTAAAATCTAATATTTGAAAACTAACTCTATTTTACCTTAAGATGGTAAAAGTGAAAGATGAGTTTTGTCGTTAGGCTTTTAAATAAGACATTTATCGGATTTGTTTGCCTTTATAATTTGTTTGATTGAATATCGAATGGGAGTGTTTGTACATTCTCGTGTGTGACCAAATCGACCAAGTGTAAGTGAAAAGTAATATACATATATATATATATATATATATATATATACATATATAATAGATTGCAAACTCTTAAAAATAACACAAAATAGACAGATATACAAACTAATTTTAACATAAGTCACCACTGGCGACGTACACCCGTAATGTTATATATGCATCAGAGTGACTTTTCAGCCACTCTTCAACAGCCCAGACACCTGGGGCCCTGGAATATAGGTGGCTTCTGACACCAGACACAAGCATCACGTGATCAGTGTGCACGTGTTTAGCGGCAAATCCCTGCTTTATAGTTATATATTTGATAATAATTTCTTTATCTATAAAAGGTAAACGCTTTAAAAAATATTTTCTTTCACTTCAAAATGTGAGAATGATGAAATAGCTAGCGTGAATGTTAACGTTATATAAATGTTACGGTAACATGATATACGAGATAGATATAATTAGTACCTGAGTGTTGGTAGGTTCAAGCGTCAGCAAGACCTATCATATACCTGATAAACATTTAAAAGATGGCGGCTGCCTTTCAGTTTTTGAAATGAAATGGATGTCCCCGTGGGGTGCCTCAGAGCGCTTCGTCACAGATCCTGTTTAACCCGTACTTATGGAAATATGGACGTCTTCTTTCAAATCCCGTGAACTGGTTTGTATCAAATGGAATCACCACTCGATTGTTCCTAGGAATGACTTCCCTTAATTTTTTTCTTCTTTTCAACCATTTCCTTGAGCTTTCTCATTTCGTCCTGGAGTTCGTCCAACTCGTCTCTAAGTTTTCCATTTTCTCCTGCTAGGTAGTCAGACTTGGCTTCTCGAACCATCGTCAAACTCTTTCGGTTCTCTCGGCATTTTCGAGCAGCTTCGTTGTTCCTTCGACGTCTTTCGGCGTATTTCGGATCAATATGAGAACGAGGACTATTCCTATGGCCAGACTTCCTCCCCGATGAAGACGACTTGAGAAGAGGAAGAGGCCCTGATTGAGCAAGAGCAATCTCCGACAATTGAGCTAGACCGTTGATTAGAGGGTTGCCGAAGGCGGCTGAGTGTGCGAATGAGCCGCTGTATTGGCCAGGGGATTGGGTGAAGGAGGCAAAATCGCCGGGGGATTTATGACGTAGCTTATGAGGTAGGGCGGTGGCCGGGGGACTTTGTGATAACAAACTTTCACACGATGAGGTCGTATTTGAGCTTTCATTTTCAGAAACCCCATATGATTTATTGACGGTTAAAGAAAGAGGTTCTTCCTGAGTAGAATTGTCATCGGAATAGTCCATTGTGTGTTTGATCGGTGCTGCGAAAGGGGCGGCAGGCGCTAGGCTCCGAGAATACACGGTCGCCGACGATGGCATTGAGGTAGACACGAGTGAAACAGGACTTTCCCGACCCCCAGGGTAGTATGAAGCGAGGTCCGACCCATACCCGGCCTCCTGATTGAGCTCCCTTTTCACGCGCTGGGAATGTGCAGGCGGTGGCTGCTCATCAAAATCTTCTGTTTCGCGATGATAGTTCGATAATACCTGGTGAGATGTTTCCTCAGCGGCTGTTACAGGAACGTACATCGGCATCCGACCACTGGCACCGAAATTCATTCCAACAGGCATACCCCCGGCCATGTGTAAGAGGGGTGGAGGTACGGACACAGGGAGGCTCCCTCGCCCGGGCCCCATCTGCATGTAACCCGTGGGCATAGCTTGGTTTCCCGGGGACAATCCACCAACTGCGCTAACACTTCCTAAAGGAGAACTAGAACTGTCAGGCTGTTTCTTATGTAGGAGAGGGGGTGGTTCGTCTTCGCCCACAAATGTCTCGTTAAGAGGTATGCCAAAACGTTTCTTTATAGCATACAGTTCATTGCGTAGTCCACAATTGTCTCGTGTGAGATCTACAATACGGTTTTCTAAAGCTAAATCGTGGTATCGCCTCTTTTCCCGCGATCGCCTAGCGGCGTCGTTATTTTTTCTACGTTTCTCCCAATAGTGATCGTCTTTCCTATTTTCTGGGATGAATTCGCGCTGTTTACGTGAGGGAATGTACTCGTCCGCATCAGTGGAGGTCGGCGCCACCACACACGTGGGTATTGACGAGGATTGGGACGGGTAATCGCTTTCGCTGGACAGATCACTTAAAGACTCGTCACCAGTATGGTCATTTCGAAAATCCTTGCTTTCATCCATCGGATCACAAGTTCTTGTCGCTTCAGCATTCGAAGGATCGTGATGGTTGTCTATAGGAGAGAGGTCAGTGTCGTTCTGCTTTGTGGACACGCCTTCTTTTAGCATTATCCAAGTATCCTTGCTTGTCGGTGTTTCCCAGCCAAAACTGCAAACGAAGAAAAAATAAATTAGAACCTTATTTTGATAAAGTCATTACTTATAGAAATAAAAAGCACAGGTATTGGATACATATGAAATGCAAGAGGCAGAATAGTCCTGTATCACCAAATTGTTACTCTACGATGTACGAAGACACATCTCATGTATGTAAAGTTCAAGATGTGGCAAGGTCACCATACGGAGACTAGCTATACAGTTACAATACCGATACTAACTATACAATCATCATACAGAGACTAACTATACAATCATCATACAGAGACTAACTATACGGTCACAATACAGAGACTAATTATAGTCACCATACAGAGACTAGCTATATAGTCACCATACAGAGACTAGCTTTACAGTCACCATACAGAGACTAACTATACGGTCACCATACAGAGACTAGCTTTACAGTCACCATACCGAGACTAACTATACAGTCACCATACAGAGACTAGCTATACAGTCACCATACAGAGACTAGCTATATAGTCACCATACAGAGACTAGCTATACAGCCACCATACAGAGACTAGCTATACAGTTACAATACAGAGACTAGCTATACAGTCACCATACAGAGACTAGCTATACAGTCACCATACAGAGACTAGCTATACAGTCACCATACAGAGACTAGCTATACAGTCACCATACAGAGACTAGCTATACAGTCACCATACAGAGACTAGCTATACAGTCACCATACAGAGACTAGCTATACAGTCACCATACAGAGACTAGCTATACAGTCACCATACAGAGACTAGCTATACAGTCACCATACAGAGACTAGCTATACAGTCACCATACAGAGACTAGCTATACAGTCACCATACAGAGACTAGCTATACAGTCACCATACAGAGACTAGCTATACAGTCACCATACAGAGACTAGCTATACAGTCACCATACAGAGACTAGCTATACAGTCACCATACAGAGACTAGCTATACAGTCACCATACAGAGACTAGCTATACAGTCACCATACAGAGACTAGCTATACAGTCACCATACAGAGACTAGCTATACAGTCACCATACAGAGACTAGCTATACAGTCACCATACAGAGACTAGCTATACAGTCACCATACAGAGACTAGCTATACAGTCACCATACAGAGACTAGCTATACAGTCACCATACAGAGACTAGCTATACAGTCACCATACAGAGACTAGCTATACAGTCACCATACAGAGACTAGCTATACAGTCACCATACAGAGACTAGCTATACAGTCACCATACAGAGACTAGCTATACAGTCACCATACAGAGACTAGCTATACAGTCACCATACAGAGACTAGCTATACAGTCACCATACAGAGACTAGCTATACAGTCACCATACAGAGACTAGCTATACAGTCACCATACAGAGACTAGCTATACAGTCACCATACAGAGACTAGCTATAGAGTCACCATACAGAGACTAGATATACAGTCACCATACAGAGACTAGCTATAGAGTCACCATACAGAGACTAGATATACAGTCACCATACAGAGACTACCTTTACAGTAACCATACAGAGACTAACTATACAGTCACCATACAGAGACTAGCTTTACAGTCACCATACAGAGACTAGCTATAAAAACACCATACAGAGACTAGCTTTACAGTCACCATACAGAGACTAGCTATACAAACAACATACAGAGACTAACTATACAGTTACAATACAGAGACTAGCTTTACAGTCACCATACAGAGACTAGCTATACAAACACTATACAAAGACTAGCTATAGAGTTACAATACAGAGACTAGCTATACAGTCACCATACAGAAACTAGCCATACGGTCACCATAAGAGACTAGCTATACAGTCACCATACCGAGACTAACTATACAGTCACCATACAGAGACTAGCTTTACAGTCCCCATACAGAGACTAGCTATAAAAACACCATACAGAGACTAACTATACAGTCACCATACAGAGACTAGCTATAGAGTCACCATACAGAGACTAGATATACAGTCACCATACAGAGACTAGCTATAGAGTCACCATACTGAGACTAGCTATACAGTCACCATACAGAGACTAACTATACAGTCACCATACAGAGACTAGCTATACAGACACCATACAGAGACTAGCTATAAAGTCACCATACAGAGACTAGCTATAGAGTCATCATACAGAGACTAGATATACAGTCACCATACAGAGACTACCTTTACAGTAACCATACAGAGACTAACTATACAGTCACCATACAGAGACTAGCTTTACAGTAACCATACAGAGACTAACTATACAGTCACAATACAGAGACTAGCTTTACAGTCACCATACAGAGACAAGCTATACAAACAACATACAGAGACTAACTACACACTTACAATACAGAGACTAGCTTTACAGTCACCATACAGAGACAAGTTATACAAACACCATACCGAGACTAGATTTACAGTCGCCATACAGAGACTATCTATACAAACACTATACAGAGACTAGCTATAGAGTTACAATACAGAGACTAGCCAAACAGTCACCATACAGCGACTAGCTATACAGCCACCATACAGAGACTAGCTATACAAACACTATACAAAGACTAGCTATAGAGTTACAATACAGAGACTAGCCAAACAGTCACCATACAGCGACTAGCTATACAGCCACCATACAGAGACTAGCTATACAAACACTATACAGAGACTTGCTATAGATTTACCATACAGAAACTAACTATAGTCACCATACAGAGACTAGCTATACAGTCACCTTACAGAGACTAGCTATACAGTCACCATACAGAAACTAGCCATACGGTCACCATAAGAGACTAGCTATACAGTCACCATACCGAGACTAACTATACAGTCACCATACCGAGACTAACTATACAGTCACCATACCGAGACTAACTATACAGTCACCATACCGAGACTAACTATACAGTCACCATACCGAGACTAACTATACAGTCACCATACCGAGACTAACCATACGGTCACCATACAGAGACTAGCTATACAGTCACCTTACAGAGACTAGCTATACAGTCACCATACAGAGACAAGCTATACAGTCACCATACAGAGACTAGCTATAGAGTCACTATACATAGACTAGCTTTACAGTCACCATACAGAGACTTGCTATAAAAACACCATACAGAGACTAGCTTTACAGTCACCATACAGAGACTAGTTATACAAACACCATACCGAGACTAGATTTACAGTCACCATACAGAGACTAGCTATACAAACACTATACAGAGACTAGCTATAGAGTTACCATACAGAGACTAACTATAGTCACCATACAGAGACTAGCTATACGGTCACCATACAGAGACTGGCTATACGGTCACCATACAGAGACTAGCTATATAGTCACCATATAGAGACTAGCTATACAGTTACAATACAGAGACTAGCTTTACAGTCACCATACAGAGACTAGCTATACAGTCACCATACAGAGACTAACTATACAGTCACCATACAGAGACTAGCTATACAGTCAATTTACAGAGACTAGCTATGTGTTTACAATCACATTAAAGAGTCTTAATATACAGTTATCATACAGCTCAAATGTGATTGGTAATACAATGACGGCTACAATGGTGTATCATGGGTCATGCAGTGATTTCCACATGTAATCCCATGGAAGTTGACGTGATAGAACATCGACCAAGTGATTAGAATATGTAAATGTTTTCACAAAGCCGCTACACAGACTAACATCGACAATGTAGGGATCAGTTTTATTATTTCATTCTTTTAAGGAGACGACTAAGACTGCAGCAATTTTCCTTTATTGACAAGCGTGAAAATAAAAAAATCCCACACATTTTACGTTACTGGAAGACGAATGGTGGTAAGATGCCGTTCAATCACCACGCCAAACATATCGTAGCTGAACCAGTAGTACTATGTTTCCCACACTTGCGTAGAACTCTTTTCAAGTACCGGTCGGGGATCAAAGGAAATCTGGCGCTAATCGGAGGTTAAATGACCCTAAAAAGGCCAAGTAAGGTCACACAAGGTCGGAGGACAGAGGGGGAAGCATTAAAATGTATAAAGCGAAGAGTAAGATTATGGCGAGAACGGGGCTATGGTCTCCAGCCCGATAACACTAACTGTAGAGTAGAGGTGAGGATAGGAGAGGGGGCTACTGACACGGTCCATTTACCAACAGTACTCACTGTACAGTAGTAAGGGGGATAGGAGAGGGGGCTACTGACACGGTCCATTTAACAACAATACTCACTGTACAGTAGTAAGGGGGATAGGAGAGGGAACTACCGATGTGGGTGAGCTATCATCAATAGTTTTCACATAGCTGGCTGTTTTGGGATCAGCAATTTAATGCTAAGGGAAGGGAACGAATTCGAATAAGCCGATATATATATATATATATATATATTTTAAACAGGCGATCTTTTTTCCAATCGGCAAAATGATGTGATGGTAATCCGTAAAACTATCAATATTTCAGAAAATGACCCAAAATAAATACAAATATTTCCGAAATGTGTTTTTACTACGACAGGGCCTCATTTTCCCATGTCTAATACGATATCTTATACTTAAACACACCTCCCGGTCAATTTCTGAAGCATACGATATGATGTATATCATTTAACATTGATTTTGCTGCGTATCATGAAATGACGAAGTTAGCAAGGTATTTTTATACACATTTTAAGCTATTGTTTTAAAACAACAAATACTGATGAAGTTGAAATAGAGGAAATAATGTTTGTCTTCACGTGCATCGATACCAGAAAATGTTTGGAGAGGACTATTTATTCAAAAATGTCCACCCGAATCGGATAATCAAATGACCGAGCCCTTTCCGTGAATCTGCTATGTGACACTGTAGCATTGGTATTTACAAGTGGCAACTGAAGTCTACTTGAATGGATTTTGATAAGGATATGGTTGGGTTTTTTCTCACAATAAATAATGTTTGAGAAAGAGACAACATGACAAGCAGAATGGTTAAGGACG